GAATTGAGAATTCCACCTTAAATATTTTGTCTTAAAGTTGCCCCCTTCTCAATTCTCCACAGTTCGCAGCCTTTTTCTCTTATTGAACTTGTCTACACGTCATTTTGTGTGACTCATTTAACTCTGTGTAATTGTAACAGCAAAACTGCAAGAAAAAGTCAAACTTGAATGAACATTGATTCCTCCTTTTTGAACATGCAACAGGTTTCTAATCAAAGATATATGCATGTTCGTTATATACCACCATCTTGTGCCTTCTTAGGCATACTTCTCTACTATGTTTGCTTAGTCTGGCATTAATATTTTGCGTGCTAACAATGCACGTTACTAGCTCATAATAACATTCTAGTAAAATATTTTCCTTCCTCATCCTTCCCAGATATGCCAGAGTTGGGAGCTAGCCAGTTGTATTAGCCAACTCAGTCTATTTTGGGGTTAACAGTGAAATTAACATAGTTGGCATATACACCTGCAACATACAAATCTCAATGCACTCACTAAACTATAGGCAAACATTTGTGTAACAGGAACTTTACAGTCTAAATGCCCCACATCAGCTGGCCCCATCAGACACTTTGAAAGAAGAACTGGGAAGTTGACTAAGTGTATACACCAACAGGCTCTACACAAGGTAGGACTTCCATTGAGGAAACTTAAAGCTAGCTATTACTCACAGGGAAATATAGCAGGCAGGCCTTTAGCTGCAAGACTTAAAAACAGCTAAGAATCAAAAGAATCAAAAAATTGCATACCTGCTATCAGAACATGGGAATAATTATGATTCCTAAAGAAATTGGAAATTAGTTTGTCACTTACTATTCACAGTTATACAACTTATAATTGGTTCCACTCACACACCAACCCACAGTGTTATGGGCAAATGCAAATATTACAAGTTTTAGAATGAAATGTTGTATTTCTTTATCTGTGTACTTTGTCTATAAGAGATATTGCAAACTGACAAGGTGTTAGAAATGGAGCATATTGTTTTTCATATATGTTTCTTTAAGCAATGACCTGTTACCTACTTTCAGTGTATACTATATTTATGCCAATTTGTCTTAGCTTAATACAAAACAAGTAATGCAATAATATCTTCAAGGTATGCTACGTCATCCTGACTTACGCCATTCTGTCCTGGGATAATGTAAATTTAGTAATGTAAACAATAAGTAAGATGTCCAGGTCATGACAAATAAACAATAGATAAGTTGTTCAGACTTTAGGATGCCATCTTGTCCTAAGTCAGGGGATTTTCCATGACATGTGCACCCTTACGTTATGGCCTTGTATTTTTGCCAAATTAAGGGAGGTCCTAAATTGAATAAAGTAAAAGAAGTGTTACTTTTTCATATATGAACTACGGTAACCCTAAAATGGAGACTCCTAAGGTATAAATAGGTGTACTTTTAAATGTTAAGACACAGAGGAGAGACTTGGAGACAGACGCTGCTCCATCTTAAAATGACAGAGAGGCTGACATGACGACATGTTCAGGAGGGTATGTTAACCTATTAATGATATTTGCAAGCATTTAGTTTAATCTTATAAACTCTGCTATAAATTATTGTAATGGATTTTATATGTCTATATTTATATATAATAAATATCTAAAAGACAAAACGTTATTGCTTCCAAGACAATCCTTGTTTTATATTGTATTTTCAATTATTTATATATGTTAAATAGAGGATATCTTATTAATTATAGAAAATTATGGCTAAGATATCTGTATGGCTAGTCCTGCTAATTTCTATGCTTTAAGACGTTATAGTGGTAAATAAGGGAACCCTCCGCAGTTACAACAGACATTACTGAGTATTTGGACCAGCTACCCATACGAGACTACCACAGCAGTGCAGAGCAGACTTGCAGGTACAAATGACAGAAGAGGTCCTACATGTAATTAAAGCTTTGCAAGCGGGAAAGGCATCCAACACGGATGGTTTTGCCAAATTGTTCGATAAAACATTCCAAGACATATTGACTGCTCACTTAGTACAGGGTTTCAACTACGCTATCTCTACAAAACGAATGCCCCCTGAAATCACATTATCACTTTACAGAAACCAGGCAAATCTCCAATATAACCATACAATTTTCAGCCAATATCCCTTTTTAACATAGACTCAAAACTCTTTGCTAAGCTATTCATGTTCAAATTGGGGAAAATATTGTTATGGGCAAATGCAAATATTACAAGTTTTAGAATGAAATGTTGTATTTCTTAAACTGTGTACTTTGTCTTTAAGAGATATTGCAAACTGACAAGGTGTTAGAAATGGAACATATTGTTTTTCATAGATGTTTCTTTAGGCAATAACCTCTTCAGTGCATATTATGTTTACGCCATTTTGTCCCAGACAAATTACAATAACAATAATGCATAAACAAGCTTCAAGACTCTTTCAGTACACAATATACTGTGGTAACCCTAAGTAGATAAAGATGTTCAGACTGTAAGATGCCATCTTGAACTAAGTCAGGAAAATTTCCATGACGTGTGCACCCTTTTGTTATGGCCTTGTATTTTTGCCAAGTTAAAGGACCACTCTAGGCACCCAGACCACTTCAGCTTAATGAAGTGGTCTGGGTGCCAGGTCCTTCTAGGGTTAACCCATTTTTTCATAATTATAGCAGTTTCAGAGAAACTGCTATAATTATGAATGGGTTAAGCCTTCCCCCTAATCCTCTAGTAGCTGTCTCATTGACAGCCACTAGAGGCGCTTGCGTGCTTCTCACTGTGATTTTCACAGTGAGAGCACGCCAGCGTCCATAGGAAAGCATTATGAATGCTTTCCTATGTGACCGGCTGAATGCGCGCGCAGCTCTTGCCGCGCGTGCGCATTCAGCCGACGGGGAGGAACGGAGGAGGATCGGAGGAGGAGAGCTCCCCGCCCAGCGCTGGAAAAAGGTAAGTTTTTACCCCTTTCCCCTTCCAGAGCCGGGCGGGAGGGGGTCCCTGAGGGTGGGGGCACCCTCAGGGCACTATAGTGCCAGGAAAACGAGTATGTTTTCCTGGCACTATAGTGGTCCTTTAAGGGAGGTTCTAAAATGAATAAAGTAAAAAAGTTACTTTTTCACAAATGAACTACGGTGACCCTAAAATGATGACACCTAAGGTATAAATAGGTGTACTTTTAAATGTTAAGGAACAGAGGAGAGATTTGAAGACAGACGCTGCTCCATCTTAAAATGACAGAGAGGCTGGCATTATGACATGTCCAGGAGGGTATGTTAACCTATTAATGATATTTATAAGCATTTAGTAATCTTATAAACCCCGCTATAAGTTATTGTAATGGATTATATATGTCTATATTTATATTTTTATATAATAAATATCTAAAAGACAAAACTTTATTGCTTCCAAGACAATCCTCTTTTTATATTGTATTCTCAATTATTTATATATGTTAAACAGAGGATCTCTTACACTATATAAAATTATTGCTAAGATATCTGTATGGTTAGCCCGACTAAGTTCTATGCTTTAAGACGTTATAGTGGTAAATAAGGGAACCAGCCGCGGTTACAATCTTACCACAGGTAATACAGGACGACCAGGTGGGCTTTGTGGCTGGCAGGCAAGGGGTGGATAACACATGAAAGGTACTTACATGAAAGGTAGATCTCCTGCATGGCCTAAAAATAATAGTGAGGGCTAGACCTTTCCCTTGATGCTGAGAAAGCCTTTGATTGGCTAAACTGGAGGTTTTTTGGAGGCAGTTCTTACCAAGTTTCAAGTACGACAGGGCATTCTGTCAGTAATCAGGGCGCTAAATGCAACATTAGCCGCCCAATTCCTAAATACCAATTTCATATCTCTAACCGCACACGTCAGGGATGCCTTCTGTCCCCTTTACTCTATGGTATGGCTCTAGAGTCATTGGCAATTGCAATACAACAAAATAGCTAAATTCATGGCATGTGGATTGGAGATTATAAGGCACACTTTTTCGCTGACAACATCTTTTTTACGTTGATTAAGCCTTGGATATCGTTGCCTAATTTTAATAAGTGACTACGGAAAGGTTTTATACTACAAATTGAACATAACTAAGACACAAGCCATGAGTCTATTAGATGGCACCATGTTAGAAAGTTTAAAGACAGCCTTGACATTTGATTGAAGAGAACACTATATTACCTATTTGGACATCTTGGTTCACAGATCAAGTGAGATGAAGTAACTAATAGAAGGGAAAAGGAGGAGCAGTAAAAATAAAATGTATTACTTAACCCCTTAAGGACGGAGGGCGTACTATTACGCCCTGCAGGAGCCGGCTCTAAACGCCGGCGGGCGTAATAGTACGCCCTCACTTTAATGGCCGCCCATGTGGCCGGCGCTATTCGCCCGCTGCAGATCGCGGTCGGGGGGGATGCCCGGCCCCCCAGGCAACCCCCCCTGTGGCCGGTGACCGCGATCTGCAGTCACTGATCGCAGTGACAGGCTGTCACTGCGATCAGTTTTTTTTTTGTTTTTTTTTGTAAATATATTTTTATTGGCATATTTCATGCACTCAAAGAAAAAGGTGTAGCATTGAGACTCGCAGGTCTCCGTTGTTGTCTTACGGTGTGTTCACAGGGCAAATGCCAGCACATTGAGACTCGCAGGTCTCCATTAGGTTAACCATGTAGGTATAACTGTGAAACATGACAAACATAACAACATTTTTCACAAAGTTCAAAAAGCCAGCAGCTAAGATATTAGACTTATGTTACAAATATTAGCAATATTATATAACAATTACTTAGAACTAGTAATGTGATATTTTTTTTTTTTTTTTTATAAAAATGTGGCATTTCTGTGTCTCGCCCTTCAGCATCCACCCTCTTTCTTATATATTTTTATACAGTTGCCTGTTCTGTTGGGCTTGTATGCCCACGATTACATCCGTCTCACAGGTCCCTTGTGAATGTTGCGTGTGTGTGTATGTCTCTTTTACTCGTGCCTGTTTGTGAGAGTGTCGCGTGACAGCCCGGGTCCTATGATCCGCCTCTCTCCCCACCTCCCCTCTTCGGGGTGCCCTATTTAGTTGAGGTGGTCCCCTCGTCTATGTGGTAGGGCCTCCCTTGTCTTTTGTGTGTTTGTCGAGCCGTCTAGTGTCGGTGAACCCCTGTCGTCGGGGGTAGACCTGCCCCTGTGTGGCTGTCATCCCCTCTCCTCTCTGGGTTTGTAGCCTCCGGCCGCTAGCTATGTGGTGGTAGTTATGTCATGTCAATAAATTCGGGGTCTGTTGTCTTCAGGATCCAATGTGTCCAAGTGTTCAGGTACACTTGAAATGTATCGTGAGCTTTGTGGTGAAGTTCCTCTAGAGATCTCAGTTCTTCCATTTGCGTAAACCATACTCTCACAGGGGGGGTGACCTGAGTTTTCCAATACTGTGGTATGATCATTTTGGCCGTGTTCAGTATGCGAATAGTAAGTGACCTCTTATAAGCTGTTTAAGGGGTTTTAGTGTGGTGTAAGAGCATGACTGCTGGGTCGAATGGGACTGGGTCGTCTGTAAACTTTGCCAATATTTTGTGAATCTCAGACCAGAATGGGGCTATCTGTTTGCACGCCCACCAGATGTGTAAGAGTGTGCCTCTGCCCTCCCCACATCTCCAGCACTGTGGGGGGTGGGATGGAATTCGGGCATGTAGTGACTCAGGAGTGTGGTACCAGTGTGTCAGTAGTTTATATGCCGTTTCCTGTGTCTTGCTGTAGCTAGAGCAGTGGTGCGTTAAATAGCAGATTTTCTCCCATTCCACTTTGTCAAAGGTCTGGCCCAGTGCCTCCTCCCACTTCCCCATGAACCGTGGTTGGGCAATTGGTGTGAGTGTTATTAGTAGAGTGTATAATGCCGATACCCCATGTGTTAGTGGGTTGGGTTCCAGGCATAGATTCTCGAAGGGAGTGGTGGCCCTATGTAGTGCTGGTCCCTGCGGGAGGGATGTAATGTAACTCCGGATCTGTTTGTATTTGAGGCGTATTAGGAAAGTGTGTTCTTCGCTCCCCCTCAGATCCTTGAGTGTCTTTATGCCGTCAGTGGTTTGTATGTGTCTGAGTCTGGGTAGCGGGTCCTGTATTAGGTCTTTGAATGCGTTCGGGTCCATCCCCGGCATGAACTCAGGGTTGTGTGTCAGGGGTATTAATGGTGTCGGGTATGATGTTAGGCCATGTCTCCCTTTGGAGCGGTGCCACTCCCTTAAGGTTGCCCTCGTGTAGGGGGACTGGGGCCCTTCCCTCATCTGGGCCCCGGGTGGCAGCCACGGTAGGACCTCCACCGGGACGCCCGCCTCGTGTTCCTCCACTTGTTTCCACTGTTTTTGTGTTCCCGTTTTGGTCCATTCCATGATTCTCATGAGATGGCATGCTCTATAGTATAAATTGAAGTCTGGTAGTGCCAGTCCCCCCCTGTCTTTTGGTTGTGTGAGTAGTGTGTGGCGCAGCCTGGGACGCTTCCCGTTCCAGACATATTTGATGAGTGCTGAGCGTAATGTGGTGAAGAACGCTCTGGGGACCGTTATGGGTATGGTTTGGAACAAGTAGAGAAGGCGTGGTAGAAAGTTCATCTTCACTACTTGTATCCTGCCTAGCCAGGAGATATGTGGGTATGCCCACTCCTGCATCTCCAGGTGCATTTTCTCATGCATCACTGTGAAGTTTTCCTTATATAGATCCCCTTCCCGTTTTGTTAGCCAGATGCCTAGATATTTAATTTTATGTGTTGCCCATTGGAAGGAGTAGTGTTGGCGCAGGGGTTCCGCTCTGCGTTCTGGGATGTTGATGTTAAGTATAAATGATTTGGAGAGGTTTATTTTAAAATTGGAGAGTCTGCCGAATTCCTGAAATGCCTTCAGTATATTGGGGAGAGAGATTTCTGGGTTGGTTACGTAGAACAACAAGTCATCAGCATATGCTGCTGTTTTGTGGTGTGTCGTTCCTGTCTGCAGCCCCGTGATGTCCGTGTTGTTCCTGATGGCCACCAGCAGGGGCTCCAGAGTTAGGACGAAGAGGATCGGGGACAAGGGGCAACCCTGGCGCGTGCCGTTCCGTATGTCGAACGGCTCTGTCAGGGCTCCATTAACTACCACCTGCGCGGAAGGTTGCTGGTATAGCGCCTCTATCCATCCCCTGTCACCCGGGCCCAGCCCGAGGTGGGCCAGAGTCTGGAAGAGATATCTCCATCCCACCCTGTCGAAGGCCTTCTCCGCATCCGTGGATAGCAGGAGAAGGCCTTCCTTGGCCCGTCTTTTCCCGTGTATCAGTGTGAGGGTGCGTATTGTGTTGTCACGTGCTTCCCTCCCCATCACAAATCCCACCTGGTCAGGGTGCACCAGGTTGGGCACGTGCATCTGCAGTCTGGTCGCCAGGATTTTGGCTAATAGTTTTAAGTCGTTATTTATGAGAGAGATGGGGCGGTAACTTCCGCATTGCTCCCTATCCCTGCCCTCCTTAGGGAGTACTGTGATGTGCGCTGCCTGAGATTGCCTAGGGAAGTGGTGTCCCTCTTTGATAGCGTTGAATGTCATAGTGAGTGGGGTGTATAGGATGTCTGCGTACGCCTTGTAATAACAGATCGGCAGGCCGTCTGGGCCCGGGCTTCTGCCGGGTTTCGTTTGTTTCACGGCTGCTGCTAGTTCCTCCTGTGTTATCTCCCCGTCTAGGGACTCGGTAGTGTCCCTGTCTAGGGTGGGCAGCGAGTGTGTGTTCAGATACGCTGCAATGGAGTCTGTTAGGCGTAGGTCCGCCCTGTGGTCCTGTGGCCTTGGGAGAGCATATAGTTTTTCATAATACGCACGTATGACTTCCTGTATCTTCCGGGGTAGTCTGTGTAGTGTATTTGTGCCGTCCCTAATCCTGTCAATGTATGTCTGTTGTCGACGTTTAGTCAGCATGCGTGCCAGCAGCCTGCCGCTCTTATTGCCGTGTAAGGCAAAGAACGCCTTGTGTCGCAACGTGTTTCGGTGGTACCTTGACTGGAGTATTTTAGTGAGTTCCCTGCGCAATGTGAGCAGTTGTCCTTGCAGTTCCGGTGTCTGTTTATTTTTGTTAAGTGTGTCTAGCTCCCGTATTTTCGTCAGTGTGTTGTTCATGGCCGCTTCCCTCTGTTTTTTCATGGTAGCGCTCTTTTGGAGGAAATGACCTCTGATCACGCTCTTATGTGCCTCCCACATGATTGGTGGGGAGGTGTGGTCTGGCGTGTTTATGGCGAAGTATTCTCGGAGAAGTGCTCCGATGTCATTTTTAACCTCCGGTACTGAAAGGAGGTATTCGTTTAGGCGCCACTTGGCCACTTTTGGTCTGTAGAGTGGGGACATTAGCTTGAGGGTTACGGGGGCGTGGTCTGACCATGCAGTGCCATGTTCCACCTGTGTGACTAGTGGTAGGTGATGGTGTGTGAGTAGGAAGTAATCAATTCTGGTATATGTGTTGTGTGGATGTGAGAAGTACGTATAATCCCTCTCATCCGGGTGGTGTGCTCTCCAGCTATCTACCAATTTATATTTGGATATGAGAGTTTTGAGTGCGGTCAAGTGTTGTGTTGGGATATGTGATCTGCCTGTGGATGAGTCCCATTTCGGGTCCAATGCTAAGTTAAGGTCCCCTCCTACCACCAGGATTCCCTCTGCGAACTCCTGTACCCTGCGAAGGATTCCTGACAGGAATCTATAGTGTCGTTGGTTGGGAGCATATATATTGGCAAATGTATACATTTGTCCCGCTATCGTGCCTTTGACAAGGACGTATCTGCCTTCCCGGTCTGTCTGTAGTCCCTGCTCCTGGAAAGGTGTTCCCCTATGAATTAGTATCGCCGTTCCCCGTGCCTTCCCCCCCTGGTAATCGCTATAATATCCTATGGGATAGTGATGGTTTTGTAACTTCGGCCTTGCCCCTTCCCTAAAGTGTGTCTCTTGGATATATACAATGGAGGCCCCTGTAGCGTGAAATTCTTTGAGGGCTGCCGACCGCTTTTCAGGTTTGTTTAGACCCCTTGCGTTTATGGTGACTATAGTGAGGTTAGCTGGTATTAGCGACATATTTGGAGAGGTGTCTGCAAGTCCTATACCCGGGCTGTCCCGCGATTAGGGCTGTGATCTAGTGTGAGTGTGTATACGGATGTGTCCGTGTGTATCCGCCGCGCGTGCAGCGTTAAGGTATCAGCGTCTGGGTAGCCGAATAGGCCGCTCTTAACTTTGGCGCTCAACCCTTATGGGGGTGGAAGGAATACCCAGGCCCTTGGTCTGGTCTATTCGTGTGTGAGTGTCTTACGTCTGACGTCTCACCCTGCGTGGCTCCGTTTGTGAATGTGCATTTAATGTGCCACTTCGCCTAGGACATGTGTGACATCTTTACTGCTGTGGGAACTTGGTTGATGCAACCGTGTTTTCAACTGTAAACCAACTTCCCGGTGAAAGAGAAACCCCCCCCCCCCAAACCTATATACAAGTGCAAGTGCCTCATGGCCTAGTTGCCTTACTGCCATCCCCCCTGGTGCTGAGTGGGAGGCAGCCGACCCGCCATCCCCCTTGAGTGCTTGGAGCACTACGTGACATCCCTCCCAGGACCTACTCACTTTGCCTCCCTTCCCGGGGTATCTTCCCGGTGTTTGTGTGTGTGGGTGTGTGGTTGGCTAGTCCCCCTTGAACCTGCGCCTGTGTTCTCCGTCTCCTCCTCTTGGACGTCTGGGCGTCTCCGTGTCGACCGTCCTCCATCCATCCACGAGTACCCCGCACCCGCAGTTACTCTGCACTTTCCAAGTTGCTGTGATCTGATGCCTTCCCCCCCCCCCCATCAACATTTTGAGTGTCCTGGTAGGTGGGTTGTAGCATGGTTAGTCCCTCGGGCCGGGTAAACCCCGGGGTAATATACTTGCGTGTACTCCATGTGCTTATGCTAATGTTAGTCCTCTCTTTCCTGGAACGGGCTCCCCGAAATGTTCTTTAGTGGGACTCTCGGGGGCTCGGCTGGGGATGCAACATTTCCTGCCCTCTGTTCAGAGTCCTCTCGGGCCTATCGCCTGTTTGCGGATGGTCCGCGGGAGCTGGGTGTCCGCCGTGCCGGTCTCCAGTCCAGGGGCCGGTGTGTATAGAGCCAGAGGATCTGGCCACTGCAGTGGAGCTGGTGTGATGTGCAGCTCCCTCCCGAGGGTGGTCATGTCGGCCTCGGTCTTCACAAGAAAGGAGCCTTTGTGTGTGTGGACCAGCAGCCCTGTCGGGAAGCACCAACGGTATTTGACTCTATTCGTCTGCAGCTGCCTGGTGAACGGGCGCAGTGCCCTACGGTACGCCAGGGTGGCGGGGGAGAGGTCCGGGTACAATTGGATCTCAGTCGACCCCAGGTACACCCTACCCTCCTCTCT